ACAATCAACTAGACAGCGGTGATATGAGGGGAGTGTAAAACTGCATTCATAAACAAGAAACTAATTTTGTAGTTTTAAATTTTCGGATAGCTCGAATTTCGAGTAATTCGAATTTCGGGTAGCTCGAATTTCGAGTAGCTCGAATTTCGAGTAATTCGAATTTCGGGTAGCTCGATTCGAGTTTTCGGATAACTCGCAGCTCGGTGCATACCTAATCAGGAAAAAAACACTTTAATTTCGACTAGCTCGAATTTCGAGTAGCTCGAATTTCGGGTAGCTCGAATTTCGAGTAGCTCGATTCGAGTTTTCGGGTAACTCGAAGCTCGGTGCATACCTAATCGAACCTATGCTTATCCTGATATACACTAGGGAAAAACTCAGGCACAAAAGGAGATAACGTCATTGTACAAACATTTGATCATCATTCGATAGTGTCTTTGGTAACTTGGATCGTTGTTCATATATAATAACCATATATTAATCTTGCAAATTCGTATGATGATTAATTAATTACTTAATTTTGTCCCAAACTACATTATCTTTTATTATATTCGTGTGTTGTAGCGCGCTTGCTAATTCCACAAATCGTAGAAACATAGGTTCAATAAGATTATTTATATAATTTTGGTGACAATTTACGTTGATCTCGTTGCTAGTCAGCTTTTTATTTATTTTCATTATTTCATTGCTGCAAAATGTAACACATTTTTGTTGATCACTCTGCTGTTGAAGGATTGTCTGTTGTTGTTCCTGAAGAAGAACTTGTTGTTCACTAATTTGTTGTTGCATATCAGCAATTTTAACCATCAAAATTTCCATGCTATTAACTTTTTGTGTCAGACTGTTTTAATTATCATTATGTGCTGTTTGATTCCATACCTTAGGTGCAGTGCTACTTGGTCCCAATTTTGGAAACTCGTTATCATTTCGATTAAACTGATTCATTTGTTTATTTCATTTAAATACTGGCAGCATAGTTTTCGTTAACGCTGCCCGATACGATATCATTGATGGGCATCTACCATCATTTGAAGCATGGGAACCTTGACATCTGACACATTTAGTAACTCCAGAGCATCCACCATTCTCACGATGTAATTCCAAATCTTGAAAAGCCAATCCACACACTTTACAAACAGGTAAATCTTGTTTACATTGCCTTTTGAAGTATCCAATCCCAAAGCATTTAGAACATACCAAAACTTTTACTGGTGCTATACTCGCTACCTCGGTATATCACATAATCTATATACATATATCGAGCTTGTACCAAATCATTAAGAGTTTTAACACTCTTAATATCAATGCGTACTAACTTTGTTGACTTTTTTTCCTTATTATTCATTCGAAAAGCATTGTCAGTATCAGGATAAGCCAATTGCATTCCATTTAACAGTTCGTCAATATTTTTGCTTAATGACACATCATGTATCACTAACGAAAGTTGTAGGGGAAGTCGACGAGGTAACGTTTTCCTATAATTCGGGCCACCAAGAGTCATCGGCCATTTTTCTGCATCAAACAAGCAGATGAATGATTCACGATTTTTAACAAAGAATATCATTTCTTGACGATAATTAGTTTTAATACCTTCAAACTCCAGTTTAATGTTATGCTTATTCGCATAATACAGACATAACTCATCTTTAATTTTATCGACTTGAGAATGCCCATCTAGTACTACTATAAATGGGGGAAACGCATATCTTGTCTCAGCATAACGAACAGCATTGCTAGATATATCTTCATCTCTGTCTTGACTATCTCTAATACCAGTATTAACTTGTAATACCGATCGTTCTACACCCAATCCAGGTAAGTTAGAAGTTGTCGACACCGGAATGGTAAACACATTTATTCCTGAGCAGATTTTTTCTGCCTCTTATTCGTACGCTCCCCCGACATTCCATCTTCGCTCATATCATCATCATCAGAATACTTCCTTCTGTTATCTTCGCTATCAGACGTGGCATTTACTTGTTGAGATTTCATAAATGTCTAAATACCCTGACTTAATTCATTTGTTACTGCAGCATGTGGTTGTTGAGTTAATTGCTGTATCCAGGGACGGTGCAAAGCATGTGTTTGTAGGTGATTAACATTAGACATAGCTTGACTATGATAAACCAAATTCTCATGATTTGAAGTAAGAAACTGTTTTTGATGAAATTGAGGATACGTCAAAAACGGTTGTGAACCACTTTAATAAGAAGCACCACTCTGATCTGCATTATTTTTCCTTGGTCGATATCCAAAGACTTCTTTTTCTTCTGTCGAAAAGTTGCTTTTTTAGACGATAGTCATTGATATTCACAGTCATGTTTCTCAAAGACTAAAAGGGATGCTTTTCTAAAAAATAGATCAGCATCATGTACAACTCGTGTACTTTAAACTAGTATAAAAGATGGAAATGGGTATACTATAATTAGTGTAATATTAGTTGGCGAAGTTGGTGCAATACGAAATAAGTTTACAGTG